ATTGTATCCGATTCTAGGAGCCTGATGCTCGTCCCCATTTGTAGGTCGAAGAACTTGCATTTGTCTGTAGACACTTTCTGCAGCGACATGGCTGGCATGACTAGAATGGAACGTCTTTCCCTTTCCCACTGAGGTGGTACCTATTCATCTACTTGAATCTGCATGCTTTCAAACTGCTAGGTTGGCAGGAGCTGGGACAAGCTTATTAGTGGACTAATAAAGATATCACTTGCTCTTGTATTTGCATTTTTTTAGAATAATTATCTTGGCTGCCAGTGCCTGGTTTGAAATCAAGGATCCAGAGCCCAGTTAGATAAAGCACCATTAGTATATATTCTCCTCATCTGGTCCTGAATTTATATATACAGTTGCTTGATTTGTGGCTTTTTAAAGGAGCTGTAGTTGAGGTAACATTATAATATGGCATTCTGTCTAATACTAACCCAAACTGTGCTTTGAACATTATGTTGCACAACTACTGTGTCGTCGTCATCCCATGATTGTAATATTTAATTTAATTTAATATTTCCTGTCTGCCCCCTGTTCCAGTTCCAACCTGGGAAAGCCTTTGGGAACCACAGAAGGAGAGGAAACCTTTCGTAACCAAAAATCACTGCGGTTGGCAAAAAGACTGCTGCCACCAATCCAGCAGGAATTTTTGGCTATAAAGTCGGGATGTGCATTCATGTTTGGAAATATTTGGAATTCACTAAATAATGCCATTATTGGATTGTTCTGAATGCATCTGAATCTGAATTTGATAGTTCCAAATACAGTGGTGCCTTGCATAACGAGCGCACCGTTTAACGATGAATCCGCATAGCGATGCGGATTTTGCGATCGCTAATGCGATCGCATACCGATGTTTCCAATGGACAAAAATCGCTTTGCGACGATCTCCGCATAGCGATTTTTTAAACAGCTGATTGGCGGTTCCAAAATGGCCATCGGACGCCCAAAATGGCCGCACACAGCGTTTTTGCGCCCTGCCCTCGCTTACCGAGGGCGCGAAAATGGCGGTGCTGTGGAGAAACTTCACTGAACGGTACGTTTGGGCCCCATTGGAAGTTTAATGTGTTCCAATGGGTTTTTACTTTCCGTATAGCGAAGTTTCCCCATAGTGACGGTTAATCCGGAATGGATTAACCTCGCTATGCGGGGCACCACTGTATATATAATAATTCCTAATGCAGTTCTTCTTTGAATTGCAAGGGTTCAAACAGTATGGTTTCAGTTATACAATTTTTTTCCCAATAAGTAAATATTCAATAAGTAAATACTCAATGAATACCGTGCAGCTATTTGTCTTAAGGAAATGCCGAGAAAGGTGGGTCTTGGACTTTGCAAGGCCCCTGCTGGCGGTGTGGTGGCCCCTGTCCCAGACAACCCCATCTCCTGACATGACAGCTTCAGTGCTGGGGCATTCTAGGAGGCTGACATGGGTTGTGGGAGGTCTGGATACGAGTGTACTGCTTTGAAGTTACATTTGAGGGGGGCATAAGAGTTATACACAGATTTATATGTGGATTAGAGATCCCTAACCTCAGTGTTGTTGAAGGGAGAAGTGTATTTGGAGTCTCATTTACTCTTATAGATTAGAAAGCAAAAGGCTAGGTTTCTGCTTGCTAAAGAAATGAAAGTGAAACCTGTTTCTCAGGACTCCTGGAGTGACTTCTTGAGAAATGATACTTAAAGACACTGTGGCGCTAAGGGTAGTTGGGGCACAGAACCCATTGTCTGCTGATTGGGTTGCCGTGAGTTTCCCAAGGGAGGAGAGCTGGGCTGAGAGTAAAACCTATCAGTTATGTCTGTCTGCACCAATGGAATCTAGAAGCAAGCACAGATACCAAAAGGTATTTTTTCCCACATAGGTTCTTCCCAACTGAAAGGTGGAAATACCTGCTTATAAGTCCTCTGAGCATTTCCTGTTAGGATATACTCTGGTGCAAGCCTGCACTGCAGCATTTTTCTTTGTGTCCGTTCCTGAACCCTCAACTTATATTTACATTCTCTACATCTCACTGTATATGATTTACTTAATATAGTTAGGAATATGATTTAGGATTAGTAGTTTCATAGATTAATACATGATAAATAAAAAGAGAAATGTTATATTTTCACTGGAAGGGTTTGTGTTCTGCTTGCAGCAGAATCTGATCCTGCTCTTGTTTTGGTAGAGTCTGCAGATAGTATGAAATGTGGGTGTGGGAAAAGAAGTAGGCTTTGGGCATGTTGCAGGACTAACTGGCTAGAAACTGTACTAGTTTCTACTGAGAAGAGGGGAGGAGGCTACAACTGCTGTTATCAGCCCCCTGTGTAATGTCTGTCACCTAGCTGTCTTGTTCAGCACTGACTCTATGAAGGAGCAAGCAGCAGGACAAGGTGTGTGCGTGTCTCTCTGTTAAGGAGGTGGTAGAGAAGCCTCTGTCTGGTTCAGAATCGGACAGATATGTGTGAACCTCAGACCTGTTTTCTGTGTGACCAAGCCAGGGCAAGGGGCTAAAAAAGATGCTGATGAAGGCACTATTCTCCCACAGAGCTGAAATGACTGAAAAAGACAAGGACGGCATCAACACTCAGACTGACACTGTCAGCTTGGAGTAGTGTTGCTGTCTTGTTTGGGAAAGAGGCTGACAAAGAGCACCAGCCATTGCTTTCCATATCCATAACCTGCAGCTTCATCATATTCAAGGAATGGTTAACCCCCAGTCCTCAAATAAAAATACCGTATTTGCCGGCGTACAAGGTGACCGGCCGTATAAGACGACCCCCCAACAGGAGGAGGAGGAAGAGGGGAAACGGGCGGGTGGTGGGCGAGCGCGCGCGCAGGTGGCTCGGTGGCGGACTCTGGCCACGCAGGCATGGCAGCGAGAGGGCGAGGAAGAATTCAAGGAATGGTTAACCCCCAGTCCTCAAATAAAAATACCGTATTTGCCGGCGTACAAGGTGACCGGCCGTATAAGACGACCCCCCAACAGGAGGAGGAGGAAGAGGGGAAACGGGCGGGTGGTGGGCGAGCGCGCGCGCAGGTGGCTCGGTGGCGGACTCTGGCCACGCAGGCATGGCAGCGAGAGGGCGAGGAAGAGGAGAAGAGGCTGAGCTTCCCCTCTTCCTCCTCCTCCTCCTCCTCCTGCCACCACCCGCCCAGCTTCTTCCTCGCCCTCCTCCCCACTGGCCTTGAATTTCCAGGGCGGGCCCAGGCAGAGCCCTGGGCAGCCGGCACCGCATGTTGGGGGGAAATACGGTATTTTGCATGTTTGTGTTTTTTAAGGGGAAATAATGACTATATAGTCTTAATATTTACTATAAAAGGAAACAATCTGGAAATTCCAGATTGTTAGAATTCTGAATGCAAGGGGCTGTAATTCTAAATTCTGAATCCAAATTGCACATCCAAATTTTGTTGGTAGTGCACATCCCTACTATTAAAGACCCCCTGTTCTGTTTCAAGGTTCTCAAACACTATCCCAAGTTAGAAGGGAGCCCAAAGTAGCCTCATAATGTGAAAGGGATTGGTGGTAATAAGAAGCTTTCAATTCAGTACAATTAAATATTACTGTTGCAAGATGATGACATCACCCTACTTGCATGCTGTAAATACACTAACAGGATTTCCACCAGTTTTTTAAAATATAAATATGTTTTAATGTGGGCTTGTATTACAATTACAGTGGTACCTCACTAAACGACGAATCCGCACAACAATGACTTTTTGTGATCGCTAAACAGTGATTCCAATGGGGGATTTTAGCTGGACATCGATTAGGTCCGTGCTTCGCGAACCGTTTGTTCGCAAGACGATTTTTTTGGCTTCACAAAATGGCTGCCCTGTGTTTTCCGGACCCATGTTTCTCAGGGCAGCCATTTTTACACCTGATCAGCGCTCGCAAAATGGCTTCCCTATGGGCGATATTTGCTGGACAACGAGGTATTTTCCCCATTGGAACACATTAAACCGGGTTTCAATGCATTCCAATGGGGAAAGGGTTTTCGCATGACGACAATTTCGCTAAACAGCGATTTCACACAGGACAGATTATTGTTGTCATATGGGGCACGACTGTATACATTTAATAGCAGAAATAACATCAATGGCTTCCCTATGGGCGATATTTGCTGGACAACGAGGTATTTTCCCCATTGGAACACATTAAACCGGGTTTCAATGCATTCCAATGGGGAAAGGGTTTTCGCATGACGACAATTTCGCTAAACAGCGATTTCACACAGGACAGATTATTGTTGTCATATGGGGCACGACTGTATACATTTAATAGCAGAAATAACATCTGTGGATTANATTATCTTCATATTTAGAAGATATTTACACTTTTAGATCCCATACCTCTAAATATCTTTACATATTTAGAGGTATGGGATCACTAAAAAGTTTAGATACCTTCATTATCTTTTCCTGCACAGGTCTTAACCGTATAAGGAAATATTAGTTTCTCCTTTATTTCCATATTGGTCCATAACCTGCAGCTCCAACATCCAAACAGGAAAAAAGGCCATTCAATATTTCTCTTCATAAGCAACTTTTGATGGCGTGTTCACACTTATTTGGGTAGCCCTGCATATCTCTGACATAAATAGAAATGGGGAAGGGGAGAAACAAGATTCCTTTTCAGTAAAGATAAAGGTTCCCCTTGACAGTCCAGTTGTGTCCAACTCTAGAGGCCTGTGCTCATCCCTGTTTGTAAGCTGAAGAGCTGCCGTTTGTCCATAAACACTTTCCATGGTCAAGTGGCTGGCATGACTAGACATGCAATGCTGTTACCTTCTGAATTGGTGGTACCTATTCAACTCGCATTTGCATGCTTTCGAATTGCTATGTTGGTGGGTGCTGGGACAAGCAACGGTAGCTCACCTTGTTGTGCTGATTTGAACTGCCAACCTTTTGATCGACAGCCCAGTGGCTTAGCGGTTTAACCCACAGCATCACCCACATCCCTTTTCAGGAATCTCCCTAAATGAAGTAAAATTTCTTTTCCTACTAGGGATCAACGAGCAAGGACTCTACCGGATAGTTGGTGTCAACTCCAGAGTTCAAAGGCTATTGAGTATCTTAATGGGTAAGTTAATTTCGAAGGAAACAGCACACTATTTTTCTTCTATGGTTCCCACTGTGGTAGTAGATACACTCGAAAAAGGATAGAGACCTGCTGATCTGGATTCCAGATGGTTGTGGTAGATCCCTTTGTGATGTTAGAGCAAATAGACTTGACCTTCCCTGCCCTGGAATGCATAGTCACGTACATACACAAAACAGAACTTTTAACAGTAACTGAATGGCCACAATTCCTCCTTTACATATAGTTTGGAGATCTGCCTGTCTTTCCAGAGAAAGCCTTTTGATTCCTTTCATGGTCTACATGAACATTGTAGAAGTCCTCAGCCTTCTGAGTGTTTTTTTTTTTTTAAAGTTTGGGTGTTTCCCTTTCCACATTCTGAGTCTGATCATTTGCTAAGTGTCTATACTTGAGTGCAGGAGTATGCACACCAACCTCACCTTGACTCAAGAGTTAAATGACATTGGGAAAGGGCTTTGTGCTTCTGTGATTGTAGAGTGTGCTTCCTTTGGTCATTGAATTCTTCAGTTTTGTGAGTGGGATTAAATTGTAAAATGCTAGCTTGCCCAAGACCGCCCAGGGACTTTTCAAACTATCTCCCACACCCAGGCCCCTCTGACTATTATAAATTCCTAGCAGTTGCTATCATTTACTGTAAAGAAAGATCATTTCCTGAATATTAGGAGCAGCTTTTTGTATGGAGCAGATTAGTGGTGCAAATCACAAATGGAAGTTATGTCTCTAAGCAGATGTGGATCCTTTGTGTCTTCTTTCTTAAACCATTGGCAAGCCTGAAGTGCATAAGACTGACTCGCTAGAACCTTATGATCTAGCCTAGGCACTGCAGAGGTAGCTGTTACGACAGATAGCCATCCCTTTAAAAAGGCCATCCCTGCTAACGAGATCAAATGCTTTTGTAAGGTCTATGAAGGCCACTAAGAGTGGCTGTTGTTGTTCCCTGCATTTCTCCTGCAACTGTTTCAGGGAGAATACCATGTCAGCGGTGGATCTATTAACTCGAAAACCGCACTGTGATTCTGGATAGACTCTGTCTGCAAGAACCTGGAGCCTCTTCAGCACAACACGGGAAATAAGGGCTAGGATGTGGAAGGTGATGGGCGAAGTGATAAGGATTGGAAATGTTTTAAGAAATGAGCCACTTTACTTTTGCAGAGGCATTACAAATCTTCTGAAGATTACCCTAAGAAAGGAGAACTGAAAATGTGCCCTGAGATGATAGACAAAGGGTTTTAATTCCTTTAATCCCACTTTAATGCTGGGTGCAGGGAAAAGAAGAGAGACCCTGGAAGCATTGAAGAGATTATAGTCACTGAAATGGATTATTGCTCAGGAATGGAATGATTTCTGATTGCAGGGATAGGAGAGATGTTAGAGAGCTGTTGCCAGAGTAAATAGCAGTGAGGTAGGTGGGTATCTTTGCTATAATTTTTATAGCATTAGTTAAGAGAGTAAATATGTTCTTTTCTGCTACAGATGCGATTGCTTTGCATAAACAACACTACACACAAACTCAGAACTGGGACCCTTCATTTCCCATTTTGCTTTTAGAATGATTCATGCTATTCATGCTTTTAATTCTGACCTGATCAGGTTTTTCCACTGCTCACATCAAAAACCTGTGGGTGGATGAAGGGTCAAAGTTTTTGCACACAGCTTCAGACCTGTATTTAGAAACAAATGCACTGAGCACTGCAGGTTAGCATTTAACATAAATGGCAACAAGATCAGGTTTCAGGAAGGTACGGCTTGTCATGAAAATAACAGTACCATGAGAGTTTGTGGAGTGACGCATCTCTATTAAACAGGAAGCACTCTTGGGTTGATGTGGCGTGAATCTGCAGCACTCTGTGAACAATCTGTGAACAATCTGGGCAGGCTTTGGAAGAGCAGCTGCTGTAAAGAGTAGCCGCAAATGTGCTGTTTAATTTTGACAAACCTGAGCTATGTAGTCCCTAAATGTTCCCACTGCAGGAAATGGAATAACAGCTTGCTGCCCAGTCATTCTCCAGTGGCAGATTGGTAGACTGCACATAACAAGGGTGTAAAGTGAGACATAGGGTTTATTAAAACATCAGTAATTCCTAAAATAGGTGATTGTGGCTGTCATACCCTAGGTTACAGAACAGTGAAAGATTAGATGCATTGACCTGCCCTTCTCAAATCAGATTCAACAGCTGTATGCTGGTAAGAGGATGCACAATTGTCAGAGTGTCTTTCTTATCTCAGCTGTTCTTCACAGGCTTCACTTCTTTGGGTTGCCATGCTGTGAGAGAGGCAAAGAAGATGGTCAACAGAAATCGTGCCTTCTTGGTTGTGACCCTTTTTTTTTTTTTTGCTTTGGAACAAGTTCCTGACAGAAGTCCATCAGACTCCCTCTTTATCATCCTTTAAAAGGATGCTGAAGACGGTCTTCTTTTAAGAACCTTCAGTAACGTTCTCCTTTAGGCCTACAGATGTTTTGTTTCCACCATCTTTTCGGGATTTGGGGATCGTTAATTTAAGATATGTATCAATTTTATGGGAGTCTAATGTTGGTCTGAGATGAATGTATTTAGGATTTTGACATGGTCTGTTGTGTTCTTTTTTTTTTAAAGACTATTTCTAAACTCCTTAGAGTAGTGCTCAGCACTTTGTCAGCTGTATAGAAATGAATGAATGAATGATTTATAACTTCATTTAAACTAAGAACTCTATCTTGAAGTGGGATGAAGAATATCAACAGTCCACTAGAACCCATAAAAGGAAGCCATATGAAGGCATGCAATGTACTATCATGCTTAAAATGAACCAGGGTAGGCGAAGTGCAGAGCATGGACTACCTATAGTGCACTAGCACTTTGGGGCACTCCATGGCCCCCAACCTTTTTTTAAAAATTGAAACAACGTGTGTTCCAGAAGAAAATGCCATGTTTTGCACCACCCAGCATACCAGCCCCCGCTCAACTAAATAAAAAAAATAAAGTTTTTTCATTGGAAAGTACAAGGGAACTTTTTCAGTTTAAAAGGTTTTTTTTTAAAAAAATAAAGAAATACTTATTTAGGGGAATAAGAGCAGAAGTGACTTTCCAGGGTCCAAAGTTGGCATGTGCATCTCCAGACCTCTTGTTTATTCTTGAAGTCTGTTTCTAGTTCAGGATATACAGAGAATACATTTTGTCCTCACTGTCTTTCAGCCTCATTGTATGGTGAGGTTTAGACAATCTTCAGCTTAATAATAAAACCAAAATCATAAAGCAGAATCTATACATTATTTGTGGGCCTGTGCTGAACCACCATTTCAGTGTAGTAAGTCACAACTAGAGGAGGCTTATTTGAATTGGAATTTATGGGGTAATTGACTCACCAAATCCCCACTGATCCAATGGGCCTGCTTTAGTGCAACGTGTTACATTAAGCACTAGGATTTCAGTCACAGCCTGAAATTCTGTTGTACAACTGCATGCGTACAATGGGGATGATATCATCAGGGGCAAATTGCTTCTGATTAAGGGCAAATCACCACTAAATCAAGGTGATTTGGGGGTGCTTGCAACTTGTGCACAGATCATCAAAGGAAGCCTTTGCTGGAGATGTTATCTCTGTTACACTGAAATTGCACATCAGGATTTCAGCCATTCTATTTAAATTCACGAATAATCATTAGCTCAATTAACTGGCTTTGAATTCAGTTGAATAAATATATTTCAGTGTACCAGATTAGTTCCACCATATGAACATGTGTGTCTAATAGATCCAGCCGTTAGTTACACCTGGAGTAGACCCATTGAGTCAATTGGACTTATTTAAGTATTGACTTATCAAAATCCCATAGACTCAATAGACTTTTGTTGGGAGTAACAGTTCAATTTAGCCCTAATATGTGGATCATGTAGTGTTTCAGAACATTTGGTGAAATCTCATATTCTTCATTGAGAGACCATAAAGCCTTCTGTTGCAGAGAGTTGGGAAGACACCCTTTATGTTTGGCTGGAGTTCGTGTGTGTGTTTATAGCCAAATAGATTTAAAAGGTTGTGCGGCTGCTACTCATATACTTATATTGTATAGTCTTGAACATTGTTATCATAAATTGTTTTTGCCCAAAACACACAACTTGCAGAGTCCTGGCTCATTCAACTGTATTTCCAGGGCAGTTTGCCATTTGTTAGTTCATTCACAAAGTTGTTGGAAACACCAACACACTGAAAATCTGTGTACTTTTCAATTTTCCAACTAATAATTTAATAACTCTCAGAAGTAGTTTAAGAATGACGGTTTTCCACGTCCCTTTTTTCTTCAAATGTTTTCTGATTATAAGGTCGCAGATCACATTAGTTAGTAGAGATGGGTACGTATTTCTGTGGTTATGCAGCAGTAGTATGTTACCAGTCTAGTGCACAGGTTCATAACCATCTTGAGTAGCCTATTTGAAATATTCTTTAAAAGAGACAGATTTCCTAACAGGGCTGCAGTGTTTAGTGCCTGATCAGTTAGATTTATATTTTTAAGCAAACAAAACCACAACAACTTTAATCAGTTTGAAACTATGCCTGTATATTAGTGGTAACTCATGCCCACCAGGGAAGAGTCAGAGGGTATTAGAGGTGGAAAGTGACAGCTTTAGTAAATGAGTCATTAGATTTCCCAGCATTTAATGAACCATGGCAGAAAAGGAAATCAAGGTACATGTATTTTAAAAGCAGACTTTTAAGACAGGTCTGCTTTTTTGGGGGGGGGTGTTGAGGGAGGAGCAGTAATTTGTTCTTAACAGACTTTCACATAAAAAGAAGATAACATGGTGCTAGCTAGAACAGGAGTAGGATATTCTCAAATGTATCTAGTTCTGGGAAAAGAGCACTAAAATACACTTCAGATCGAATTCTTTATAAATACCTAATGACTTGAAGGAAGGGTTAATTCACTTTTAATTCCACCTTTCTACATGACCACCAACAGAATGTTTAAGATGTAAAAGAAACTCATCAAAGGACATTTAAAGCTGTGT